TCAAAGACAAGACATTGTTTCTTGTTGCAGAAAATATGAGATATTTGCTGTTATTTCATTCATGAAACACAACACTTTACTAGAAATGATTAAAAAAAATTATGAAATAGCAACCATCTCTGCAATAGGCTTCAGTGCCTCTTTTTCTTATTCAAATTATATTTGTTTTAAGCAAAATCAAATACACAATTATTAATTAAGTTTTGTATTTGGAACGAATAATTATTTTGGGGTTTGGGGTTTTTTTTGATGTGGTGGGGTGGCTTGTATTCAGCCAGCTGCCATGTAGGACACCTTGGTACTTTTCCACCAGGCACATTTCCAGCCACTTTTCCCCAAGTCTGTAGCATTGCAAGAGGTGTTTGAACCTACTACAATTGGCCTCAGTCCATTGATTCAGCCTGTGCAGATCCCTCTGCACAGCCTTCCTACCCTCCTGCAGATCAACATTCTTGTCCAAGATGATGTTGTCCCAAACTTACTGAGGGTGCACTCGATCCCCTCATTCAGACCATTGATGAAGATATTTCATAGGACTAGCCCCAGTTCTGAGCCCTATGGAACTAGATTCACTGGATGCACACTGGATGCAGCCAGAGGTTTGAGCAGGATAAAAACATTTCAGGTAACACTCCTAAGCAATAGACTAAGCAATAGCATGATCTTACTGTTCAATGCAGACAACTGGCAGAACAAACTGACTGACCAGCCTTATACTGATGACCCCACACAGCAAACATAAAATAAAAACTATTTTTTCCCTTAAAGAATGATGTTCAGTGGGATAGGAAGCCTCACATAACTTAAGTACACAGGTTTTTTTAGTAAGCCCAACAAGGTCAGTTAGACAAATATTTAAGACTTTAAGACTGTGGGTACAGAACAGCATTCATTGCTTAGATTTCCAAGCCATGTAGTTCAGAATAACCAAGCAGGGACATCAGAACAAACCTTCATTAACGCTGTCCTCTCTGTCAGCATGGTTGCGAAATTTTTCTATGGTCTGAAAGCTGAGGAATTTAGTATTGCTGGTCTGCCCTCTCAAGGGAAAGATTCCACCACTGAGATCTAAACTGAAGAGTTTGACACAGTATGTAAAACCCTGGGGAAAAAAATGAAGAAAGGTAATTTTGAAACAACAACATACATTATACCCAAGTATGAATTAATGCAAATATCTGATATAATATGCTTATTTTACTGTATGTTTCCCATCAATAAAAATTACATCTGACATGCAAGAGAATTAAGTGTCAAATCATAATGGGCAAGTTTGCCTCTAAAGGCTTTTGCACCTTTTAAAAATTTAGCATCTCCCTAACATTAGTCTAGATCTAAACATGTTTTGCAGAATTCCTTGCATCATGAAAGTGTCTTTACAAACCTGAACATATACTTACAAAGAGACATCTAAAACAATGCAACACATCTTCACACAAAGCTTTTGTTCCATGTTTTGATTAGATAACCTGACATTACAGCAGCTAAAGGCCTGTCACGAGACGTTAGAGTGAACATTCATTTCTCTAGTAACAATGAGAACTTCCTAGAGATTTAAAAACTTCTTTCAAACCACATGAGCTCTCATCAGGGAAATATCCCTCAATTCCTTATGGAGAGGACATGGGATGAACATGGAAAATGTGTTTAAGACCCCAAATTACTACAGAGCAAGCAGACTGCTTTGAGACACACAGAAATAAACATGCAGAAAGGATGGCCCTGAACCTCTGCCACCACCATTTTCTAAGGAAGCACTAATTGAAATACTGTCTTTCCACTACAGCCTTCATTTAACCTCTCTACCATACAACACATGAATAAATGTGTATGTGTATTGTGGACAAATAGCAGCTCTACAATAAAAACAAAACACCAAACTAAAAAAACCAGCAAGCCACTTTCAAACAAAAAATGAGTTTCCAAAACTTTCAGAGATCTAAAATGAACTGGCATGAAACAACACATTCTCATTCTATACATTTAATTCATCTAATCTAGAAGAGACAAGCTTTCTCTTAACGGTTCCAGGAAGAATTACAAATAAATATCAAAGGTGTCTAAAAATAAATTAATATATTAAAAAGTCTTTCATTACTGAAAAGGGTAACATTTGTCCTGAAACATGCACATTCTATTCTGTTTTATTCAGGAATTTTGGAAATAACAGATACACATGCACAGTAGTTAATAAAAATCAAAACCATCTCTTTGAAAAACTAACATGAAGCCTAAGCAAAGAATCCCATCTTATAAAATTACTAAAGATAAAATCAATTTTAATAAAAAATGTGGACCTGAACAAGATGTCCACCATACCAAGGGACAGTTCTGTAAGAAAAAACACTATAATTCCATAAACTCATCAGGCATTCATTTTAATGACTAGAAATTTCAGCTTTCACTCATACACAAAGAGCCAACTTAACTGATACTCAGGGAAACTTTATCTTTTCATCTCTCACATACAAGCCTGTCTTACCTCATACATGACTTGTCCTGATGCCAGACATTTCCTGTCACCAAATGCTAACTGCAAGAGATGTAAATTCACAGCATTCCCTTCACTGAAAAAGGTATAAATGAGGACATTTGCTTACAAAGCTGCTTTACAATCCTCATTATCATTTTATTAGATCTAGGCTGAAACTAACTTAAGAGCATGCTCTTGCTGAAAAGATAAACACTGCTTCCCAAAACATGGTAATTGGTCACATTAGCCATTAAAACAGAAAGGAGGAAATTTTGACACAAACAGCTTCAGGGGCAAATGCTACCTATGCCTCTGTTTGGAAAGCTCTAATATGCAGTATGGACCTAAAATTGTTGGAAATAGCTTTTCACAGTAAAGCATTCTCCATGAAAACTGCTTTGAAGTCAAGCTCAAGAAGACTGCCAGTCTATGAACAGCTGGGATAAGTAGTTTGCTGATGCTGAGAGAGACAGAGGTATGTTTGTCCCCTTCCCACCTAAGTTCCAGTCCCTCTCTTGCATGCAGTGCACCCTTCTACACTCTGACTTTTTCCTTATCCCAGCTGGAATCCATTGATTTGTTTGCTGAACACTGCTCCTTTTCTTCCAGGGAAGCTGAACTGGCACACAAGGACTCCAAAGAATTCTGAAGCTCTCATGAAGCAACCAGCAACAGTCATCGTCCTCTTTTAGGCACAACTCTGTGTGAACAAATATTAAATTTTTTAAAAAGCAAAATCAGTGGCTTATTGCAATTTTTATTCACCTTTGTTGTGTAGACTGAACAGCCCATAAGTAGCAACAATTTTGAAGATCATTCTCAGGCTCTTGAAAAGTAAGAGCACAGACAGGAATCCTTCCTCCTCCAAGATGAGTGTAGTGCCTACAGGTTTGAAAACAAAACAGAAAAGACAAATAATGGAGGCAAGCAAGTGACTACCTTTTATGCAGCAGTCAAGGTGAGGAGATTTCTGTCCATCAAAGCAATAAGCTCTGTTTATGTCCTCCTCTGCCTGAGGAGGAGGAACAGAAATTATTAGTTCAGCTGCTAGGGAAAACACTGTTCCTATTGTTGAAGCCTACTTTAATACTGAACTTAAAATGCAGTAAATCTGAACATATTTAAAAAAACAGCAAACAGAAGGAGCTTCTAATTTCTTTACTTGGGCATTGTAACAAACGTTTTCTTTCAGATTTCTGAGCTTTAGCTGTACCTTCACAATTTTTTCCTGACACCTAATTAGGCCTCCACTATCTATTTACGTATCAGTAGTTATGGTGAGTAACTGCAGATTTGCTAAAGTAAATCCCTATCTGAATTTTGCCACATATTTAAAGTGACATTACTCTTCAGCAGATTTTAAATAATTTCTTAATTTTACTATTGTTTATAAATATATATGCTTCCCATTCTCATCTCCAAGGATTCCAGGGAAAAACTGTTTCATGTACATCAATGCTTCGAAATGGGTCAGCCCCCTACTTGCATCAAGGCTGAAATGTAGGAAAAAATATGCTTTCAGGCAGAGATCAGCTACAGAATTAACATGTCTCACTAGTTTCATCCCACTCCCTTAATAATATATAATCACCAAAATCACATTATTCATACACTGAAGCCTTTCAGTGCATGCCCTCATTTCAGTAACTGGTTCTGAAAAATAATTTCTAAAACCTGTCTCATGGAAAAACACACATTGCCTTGTTTCACTGAATACGACTGGACAGAACAAACTGACTTATAAAAATCAGATCTCTCACATCCCTACTGTCTAACATGATCCAGTACTTTCCACAAGACCTCTATGCACAGGCATGGTAAGAAATCAATTGTAGTCCACTGCAGAGAAGGTGCTGCACTTAATCCATGTGTGAGTTAATAGTTACTTCAGAAGAGGATTTCTGAACACTCCAAGGTTATACCCAACATCCCACTCACAGAAAAAGGGCTCTTGAAATTAATATATTTCCTGAAGCAGAAAAACTGAGACCCTGCAACTCCAAGCATGGCCAAGTGGAAAGGACTACTTACGCCCTCTTCAATGTTTTCATGTTCCCCCTGCTTCACAATTCACCTTGAACACAAGAAATCCAAGCTTACAGCTACCTCTAGAAAATTCAGGTAACTTTATCCTCTTTTAGAATTCCTATGATTCAAATTAAATTTTTAATCTTCACTGCTATCAGAGGACTAACAAGAATATTTTGATTATTCAAATTCTCATCCTTCAAGTCTCAGTGACTGTGATGAGGAAATACAGAACGCATCTTGCTGCGCAATTAGACAAGGTTCAAGGGTTGCTGCTTCTAACTTTTTTCTTTTAAGATTTTTTTTTCATTGTACAACTGTATTAAAATGAATCTTTACTAGTTCTTCAAAGAGTATTCCAACAATATTCCATGTTGAAGCTCCTGAAATGACATATTTTTCCACTATGCTATGCACTGCTTTTTCCTCATTCTGAGGAAGAACAGAGAAAACTTGGCTCACAGAATCTGAATGGTGCCCTTCTGCCTCATATAAACCAGGAAAATGTGGGAAAATACTATGCAGCATGCAGTCACTATAAACCCACAGGGAAAATAATACCAGAAACACGGTGGTCCTTAGAGCCTTAAACAAAAACGACAAAAATGCAGAAAGAGGTGTTGAGACAAAGGCTCTCTTGGCTGGGTATTCTGAACTGACAATGCGTTAATACAATTCAGAAAACATACAACCTTCAAAGAGGTGCTCCAAAGCGTTTCCTGAAACAAGACTATGCAGCACCAAACAACACAAAACCTTCATTTCCCCAAAAAGATACGTACCCTTCCTGGAAGAACAACTGCTTTAACCACTCTTGAGATCCCAAGGTCGTACAGACAGAGAACGCTTCCCTCTGTTTCCTCCAACCCAACCAGGAGTCCAGTCCTCTTCTGCCAAGAGAACTCCTTCACCACGCGGACGGTGGGAGGCTGCTCGTTCACTCCGCTGAAGCGATACGCAGAGAGCCGCTCTCCGCTCACCGAGTTCACCACCTCCAGCTGGGGCCCGCACGCCAGCCACGCCAGGCCGCTTCTGCCTGCAAGGCAACACGAACAGCACTCAACAAACACCCAGCACAAGAACTGAAACAACAGCACTGGCACTGGGCCTTCCCATCTCATGCACCAAAGGGAGGAAGGCCAACCTACCTTTTGCATTTGTACTTGTCATTCCTGCACTCAAGAACACTGACTCTTTGGGATAAAGATTACAGTAGACTAAGCTCTACTCTGTACACCATACTCAGCCTGGTTTTGCTAATAAAACACCTAAATATGTACAGGAATACAAGTCTCAAAGCATACTTCAAATACAGCCCATCTAAACCAATTCAGTTCCAGTTTAAGAATTTTGCTTGACACACGCCTCCTCTGGGAAGGGATTTGGGCAGGGAATCATCTTAACATGGGCACTGCATGTGTAATTCCAACTTTTATATGTGCTGATCCCAGAAAGAATTTAACAAGTGGTGTTTCACTCAAGAGTTTAACACTTGCTCCTTTACTGAGGAACTTCAAGCTCAAAGGAAGGATGAGCTCCATTACTACAACTACAGTCAGGCAGGTAAGATTCTACCTGGTCTTAACAGCAGCCCAGACATCCAGACAGGCATCCAGCTCTACCTTCAGATCACCTAGAAAGTCAACTGCCTAATCTGTTGTCAGCAGCTCTCACTGGGTCCTCAATTGCATCCTATTAAATACCTTGGAAATACATGGGCAGCACTTAACAGACCTGCCCCTCTTTCCATTTTTTATTTAGACTAGAGAAGAAAAAGGAGCATATTGTGTCTCTGTAACTATTTCATAGGCATGCGATGTTATGATGGACATAGAGCTTGAGCTGGTAAAAAGAATACATCCCAAAACAACACTTTCTTCCTTGAAAATTGCCTTCTATTTCATTCAGAACTGAGGAGGGCATGGTCAGCTGTATTATTTAAATAGCACAGGACTGGAGCAGGCTGTGGCACTTTCAATGCTTCTAATTGCTAAAATATCCTCTTAGCACTATCAGAACCTGATGCATTTGACTTAACAGAACAACCTGATGCCATGATCCTGTGCTTCAGGCAATAACAACTTCATATCAAATCCAAGTTTAAAGGAAAATGCTCACCTCCAGAAAACTTCCCACACAGTGCAGAGTCTAGGGTGATCTCATCTTCCCCAAGTGCCTCAACAGTCACCTCTGGAAACTGCAGCAGACTGCTCGTTACCTGAGCCGTTAGGTCTCGCATTCTTCACTGGATATAAAGAAAAAAAGGCAAAGAGACTCATGTCAGCCATAAATATCTTTGAGACTGACCCAAGCTTCATCAGTATGCAGTGACAAATCTCCCATGCATCATTTGTAGCTCTTTTTTGCTCAAAAGAAATGGCACTTGGGACAGTTTTTCATCTCACAGCAGAGCAAAAGGAGAATCTTGAGCTTTTCTGATGCCTATGAGATCAACAAAAAGTGACACAGAGAGATGGACAAGATAAATCACAGGGAAGAGAACAATACACTGAGTTCAAGTCTACTATACAGGTTAGCAAGACTTGATCTCAGAATAATCATACTTTAAAAAGTTTGTGCTTGTGAGGAAGCATAAACATGCAGCAGAAGATAAGAATTAGAAAGGATTTCAGCACTCTATCCCATGAGCTCCCAACAGCTAAGTTTCTGTATTAGTTGCAGTTTGCTTTTCCTTTAGGTGAGAAAACAAAACCAGCACAAATCAGAATTAGTGCAAATTTACCCAGCTATCTGCTGTGGCTCTTGTCTGGCACAACTCTTGTTTCATTAAAGAGTTGCAGCCTGTCTAACATGGCTAAGCAAGCCAAAGTTCCTAAAGTCTGCGCTGAGTCAAATGCTTGTCTCCACACTGCTTCCTTTACCTGGACAGGCAGACGTAAGTGCCAAGGGGCTCAGCACAGAACACAGCAGCGAGGAATTTCACTGCTTGCCCCTCCCAGCACAAGTTCTACAATCTTGGCTTTATAAAGGAATTCTAGAATGGCCTTCTGGAACCACTGGCAGTCATCTCATCAAACTGCCCTGCTGCTCCAGCCACCACCTAGAGCAGGCTGCCCAAGGCTGTATCCAGATGGATTTGGAACATTTAATTCTCCAGCAGGTTTTTACAACCAGCAGCCTGACAAGATCAACTGCAGAAACACCTGCAACCCATGCAACAGGGCCTGCTGTTCGCTGACTCTCTCCTGCCAGTTTAAGGATTCTGTTCTCTCCAGCACACCAGTAAACCAGCGTCACACCAGGAAAGACCTGTCACCACTGTTTCTCCAAAACGATATCTGACACCTTAATTCCCAGAGCAGCACGTCAGGCAGTCCTTGGCTGTCAGGCAGCACGGCCTCCTACAGAAGCCCGCAGCCGCAGCCCGGCTAAGCAGCAGCCATGTTGTTGCGAGGCGCGTGCGGGGCGCAGGCCCCGCCTCTAGCGGCAGGGCCTGCCCGGGGAGGGCGCTGGGGCTGCTCCCGGAAACTGCGAGTCCAGCAGCGGCAGCTGGGCAGCCTCGGCTCTGCGAGTCACCTGGAAGGAGGATACTAAACTCAGAGCATCCAGAGGGCAAGGAAGATGGGCCTAGGGGAGAAGATGTATGAGGAGTGGCTGAGGTTTCTTGGTCTGATAAGCCTGGAGGAGACTGAGGGGAGCCCTCACTGCAGCTACACCTTCCTTGCGAGAGAAGAGGAGGGGCAGGCGCTGATCTCTGCTCCGCGGTACCCAGTGACAGGATCAGAGGGAATGGCCCTCTGAAGTTGTGTCAGGGGAAGTTTAGGCTGGGTATTACGAAAAGTTTCTTCACCCAGAGGGTGGCTGGGCACTGGAACAGGCTTCCCAAGCAAATGGTCACAACACCAGCCTGGCAAAATTCAAGAAATGTTTGGGCAATGCTCTGAGACATAAGGTGCGTTTAGGGCCAGGAGTTGGACTTCAGTGATCTTTGCAGGTCCCTTCCAACTCAGTTTACTCTGTGATTCTGGGTGACAGCATGTGCTGCATTTTGGTGTTCAGTTCCAGGATGACAGAAATGTAGGTGACACTACATAACACTTCGAACCAATGAACACCAGACACGTGCATTTCACTTAGGGGAATGTTAATAAGGAGAGAGAAAAAAACAGACCAATCTACAGCAGTGAACTAGTGAAAACTGATTTTAGTTGCTTCTTTGACTAAGGTCTTACCTGGCCCATGTAACTGTTGGGTCCTGCTGACATGAGCACACTGTTCTTGTCCTTTAAGGAAGATACCAGGGTCAGAAGCCAGAACAGGTCAAAAGCAAAGGTTTTTCTGTGCCCCAGAAATCACATATGCTTGTGCTGTTGGTTTTCACAGAAATCACACACCCACCTCCTGCATCCTTCTCTCACTGTTATTAAAACCCCAGTTGTAGTATCAAAACACAACTAAGCAGTCATTCACTAATAATTCATGTTTCAATTCAGGTTTAAACCAAGTTCTGCAGCAATGCACAGCACATCAATGCCTGCTGTGAGTCATGACACAGCCAAGGAGGAACTGACCTGAATGGCCACATCAGTAATCAGAACTTGCATGTTTCACTCTACCTCACATATTGGTCATCCACACAGCCCAGTGCTGAAAAATGCATTTTATTTTAGGAACAGCTTTAATTCATCAGGAACCACAGTATGTTGATCTTCAAGCATATCAAAGGGACTCATTATCTCGACTACTTTGGTGAAAAAAGCATTCCTGAATGGAAACCCTGAAGTTTGCACAGAAGACAAAAGTACAAACAAAAGAAACAAACGCTGTCCTATTACCTAAAATTCTGTTGTTTCAGTATTTTCAGATTGGCCTAGACTAATTGGCTGCAAGCATTGCCTAACTACTCACGAGAACATGTAGATTGTTTTCTGCTATAGCTGCTTTTTTCCCCCACAAGTCAACAACTTTGCTATATATTAGTTACATGAAATTGCAGGAAACAAATTTATTGCACTGACAACCCTGAGAGTAGCCTTCCATAAGAGAAAGTTCTGATTGGGGATTAAATAGTTATCTGTGCCCTTACTTGCACATTGGACATGTACAAATATTAAGGCAAATAAACAAAGTCAACATGAATTAATTAGCACTTCAAGCCCCGAGTGGCTATTGAAAGTAAAATAGATTTAACTCTCCTTCATGTTATTACCTAGAACAAATACTTTCATCAGTCTTAGCTTATAAATATTTGAAGAAGTTTGTGAGGTAACTCGAGAATAATTTCCACTGTGACATTTCTTTTCTTAGAAAATACCTTCTAACAGCTCTTGATGTTATTCGTACTCCCATCACTAAATCTCCTGCTGTGTGCTTTCTGGAAATAAAATCTGCCATTGCACCCCATTTTATTCTTCCTGAAAGCCAAGATTCTGCTGTCCCAAGGAGGTCAACCTTCCACTGGCGTTTTCTCTGGGGTTACACCCCAAAGGTACAGATGCACAATCTGGCTTCAGCTTTTAGCCATCCAGAACTTCTTTAGGGGATAAAAACATTAAGGAATAAAAGAATTATATCCCTTTCTATAGAATAACTTCAGAATATTCTTTTAGCAATGAGCTGTAGCTGTGAAATTCCCACCTTGTTTGCTAGAAAATTTCAGCTCTATCCACAGCTTTCAGCATCCATCCACCACCACAATGCATCCCACCTCCTCTACACGTCCCTCCTGCCCTTCTCTGACACTACTACTCTCTCCCTCTCAGATCCATGTGCAAACAGCTGCAAAACTTTTCCATTCATCCTTCACACATGTAGCAAGCCTACGCAGAAAGCACCCACATAAAGTCTATTTTCTCCACTTCATTATAAACCCATCCTTGAGCTGGTGCCTGAACACTGTTCCCCAGCTTCTTCCTTTCCTCAGGCTCTAAACAGAGCCACAGCATCTGGTTTTGCTTCCATTTCCTTCTATGCCCTTCAAATTTCTCAGCGTCCACTCCTTGTTACACATGATGCTCAGGCTCCTTTTTAAACTGCTCCTCGGGGAAACTGGTCTGCACTGGAGAACTGTGCACCAAATCCCAGTTACAAAAAAAGGGAAAAAAGTAAAATATGTCAACACATAATTAAAACTCCTTTGAAGTAAGAAGTTACTAGAAAATTGCAAACCTTTAGGAAGTTATTAAATCTATTGCCAATTGTCTTTTGCTATTGCTTGCTTTCTTCCTAAGCACAGACAAATGAGGATATTTTAGCTGAAGTGCAAATAAAATAGACACTAAAAACTAATAAAATTGGCTAATGCTATATTTTCATTTTTTCTAAATAATTTTCATACAAAAATATACATATATATAAGTATAAATTACAGAAATGCATTAAAACCCTATTAAGCAATCTTCACTACCATTTCATCAGTCAATTCCATTTGACAATAATCAGAGTATTTTACAAATACTCTTGCACACTACAAAAAAAAGTCAGATTTGCCATCTGTATTCTATTCCCATTTTGAAAATTTGACCTTTTACCCCATTTTGAGCTATTCACTGCACTTCTGAGAAATGTGAATATAAAAATTTGCTAAACTTCCCTCCCCTTTCCTCTTTGACCATATTTATAGTCACTCATGTACAAAATACACAGAAAAAATAATTACTAACTTGACTCAAAGGTCTCAATTTACTGCCACTTTCACATTTTAAACTTTTGACATTTTTTTTAAGCTTTCAATCAGCCATGAATACTTCCCCAAGGAGAAAAATATTCAAGTGCATGCAACTGCTTCTCTAGAATGCTCTGTTCTGAGACAGAAAAATCACAGCCCCAGAACAATCTTCTTTCACACGCTTAGTCTGTTATTAATACATTCATTCACTATGTACAAGCTATTAGTTAATAAATAACTTATGTCTTAAATAACTGTAGTAGTTTTTACTAATTGAAAAGTTTAATATCAGGTTCCACCATTCTGTAGTCTTCAAAGTTGCATCCATGTATAAATTAACATACAGAAAAATAATCCATTGTCTAAAAGACTGCACATCAAAATAGTACTTCCATGTCTGCTTTTAAAAGAATAGGTTTGTGACTTTATTTATACAAATTGAAACTTTATAGGGACATATACTCCTTAACCCAAGACTGTTAATGAAACAATTATTCAAAAATACGGTTTGTAACTAAGATTTCTGTACAATTTTGTACCTTTTTCAGACTATTATATAGGCTTTACCATCAGGTTTTCAGTGCTGTGATATGCAGGTTTCAAATACTGCAAAGCATGTTTACAGACAGTACGTATTTCAATTATAGTAGCAGTCATATTACGAAAATAATTCTGGCTCAAATTTCAAAGTATCTGGGTAATATCCCTTTAAATCTGATATGCTATTGTAGGCATCACACCATCTGTACATGTAAATTTTTGCTGACAACAAATTTTTAGAAATAACGACACATCTGAGGTGTGATCTGGTTTTATGAACTAAAGAGCAGCTTTCCCAAAGTTTAAGACAAATACAAAAAAAAATATTGCACAGCTTAAAACGCAATTGTTTACATTCTGACTTCAATACAGTACAACTTAACCGTGAATGTAAGGAATTACCAGTTTGTATTGTAAGTTCAATTATTTGTGCCAGAAGGTCAAACATAATTTTAAAATTAAAACTAGTACGCTTAAAATGTTTACTTGTTACAGAAATTCTAAACAAACTTTTTAAAAGCTTTTGGAATCACTTTTGAGAGTCTGTAACTCCCACAAATCAACATTAAAAGTTCTGAGCAATACAGGTCATTCAACCCAATATTCCCTCAAAAAGCTATCAGACAGTAAGCACATTGTGAAGTATACATTTTTATTTAACATTCCTAAAATAAGCTGTATTTACATATTATATAAATGTATGAAGTCTTAATATAAAATAGAAAACTGCATTGACTGAGGAAATCACACTCCATATGGAGTTACTTACTGAAGACCATTTTTAATGAAATTTTACAATAATTTATATAAATTATCTCTTCCAAATTATGATTTTTCTTCTTACTAATTCACACAATTTTGATGACTTTACAAACAGTGGTGTACATTATAAACTTAAAAAAACAGTTACAGCATCTTCCGGCGCACAACTGGCTTTGGAAAATTAGACAGTCTTTTTTTGTTCTTTCTTAGGGTCTTCCCTGCTGCATCTGTAGTTTCTTTCTGTTTAGTTTTTGTTCCATCCACTGGACTTCCAAAAGGAGAGATGAATTTTATTTCGACTGGTGGAGGTGACCAAGAATCTTTTGTGGTTCTGAAAAGAAGGACAGGCATCAAATCAATTTTTCAGTACTAACAGTATTTAATTCAGAAAAAAAATGACATGGAATTCCAAAATCAATTTAAAAAAATGCATGGGCTTCTTTGTACATAGAATTATGGTAGAAAAGGTACATAGATCTGTTTGTTTTGCTTTCATTCCCTTTACTCATTGTCTGGCCATCGCCCACCTTGTCTGAGAAGCTAAACTGGAAGAGTTTGAGTTCATAAGGTGGAATAAGACAATGTAAGAGCACTGCAATATCACCACTGCAATTAATATCCACCTGCCCTTTTTTATTCTTTCCCTTTTCCATTAGCAAACCAAACCTTCTTAAATGGGGAAACAGTGCCTATTAGACCAGCAAGTTGGACAGGCTGATGGAGTGAGAGAAGACCGGCACAGCCAAGTGTGGAAGAAGTAGTTGGGTATTTAACAGCTGAGTCACTATCACATGAAGAAATAACTGTTCAAAACTTATTTCATACTTGCTTGCTTTCTTCATTTTTGATTTTGGAGTTCTACCTCTCTTCAATTTTTGCTTTCCCCCGGACTCTATGGATTTGGTATCCTCTTCTTCTTTAGCTGGAAGCTCCTATGTTAGGACAACAAAAATGTTATTCATGAACAAGTTCTTAGACTTCTATGGAATAATAATGGTTTTTCATTACAAAATCATGCCAAAGTTATTTCCAAAAATACCCTTTGCTTTCAAAAACAAACCTTTCACATCAAATTATTTTACCATCCTAAAAGTTAAAATTCTGAAATTAAAAGATGACATACCAAGTAAGTTTAAAGAGAGCCACTGTGCCTTTTGCTGAAGGCAAAACAGTATTTATCAATTCTTAATTTACATAGATTCAAAACTGACTTTTGTATATAGTTTTCATGAAGAAAAACAATAAAATTTTTAGCTGATTCATTTCAAGCTCTTTTTAAATATGTTTCCAATGAAAAAGGCAAAGCATTGCAAAGCACGATCCCAAAAAATGGTACCGAATTAAAATCAAGAACATGGGACAACTGGAGTTTTTACTTACTGCTTCTTTCACAATTCGGGAAATGCTAGCTACATTTTTTCTCCTTGACCTCAAAAGAGGAGGTGAAAAGACAAATTGAGAAGACAAATCCGGGTCTAAATCCTGAAACTTCACAGGATGGTCTGTTTTTCCAGCTAAAATGACAATGCATTGTTAGCATGCACATACACTACACATGAGGGACAGTAATATTGAATTACAGCTGACAAGAGCACAATAGCTTCCAAAAATAAAGGTCCAATCAGCTTTATAAACACTCCATGCAAAGGCATTTTCCCCCCTAGTAACTGCCTCTCGGGATTCATTCTTTTACCATAAAGTTAGTTTCACAAAACTAAGCCAATGTAATGATTTTACCTGCACTTACATAACCAAAGTTATTATACTCCAGAGGCATCAACAGTCCTTACACATCTCAAAAAAATTTATCATGTACTCTAATTAAAAGACTCCTGTGTACAGTAATTTCACCGACAAAGTACGCACTCATGAAAAAGAATCACATAATTAAACAGCTGTACAGTTTGTTGCAAGATGCAGCTCATCTGAACTTGAAAAGTGAACAGAACTTGAAACACACATCCTTTATTTTTCTATTGAGGGGAAGGGGTGGCAACCATATATTCACAAATAATCTCTGGTTTTCAAAATCTGACAGAAATTAAGTTCCTTACAAAAACACAGCTTAAATTTAATTTCACAGCTTAGATCAGCTTCATAATCCATTTCTACCAGAACTAAGCAGGCAGTCACACAGACTTCAGCCAAAAGATGAACTGCCTCTTGGTGAATTTTTTCTTTTGCATACTTACATTTTTTACAATACTTAAAGCCATCCTCACAGTTTGTTTTTGGTGGTTTAAAGAAGAGGGTATGCCCTCTTTTGCATATAAACATAGTGCACCTACCTTCAAATTTCTTTGTGAGCTTTGTGAGAGGAGGAGAGAAAAGGAAAGCCTCATTTTCCTCAACAGACAGTTTCTGATGGATGGCAGTCCTGCGGGATCTGGTTCTTGTAACACGATCTGTCAGAGCTCTTGATGTCTGATCAGGTCCTGAGGGGTTTATGTCTTCAAGCAGCAAAGGACTGCCACCAGGTCCTTGGGAGGTCTCCTCAGACATTGATCTCCTCTTCCTGCCCCGACGCCCTGTCCTCACCGCAGTCCTGGGCGTGGCTGGCTCCTCATTTGGCTCTGCAGGAGCTTGTACATGAGTATCCTCTTTTTCTGGGTTCTCCTGTGGCACTCTCCTAGTTTTTCTCTTAGGAGTATCAAGGGCTTCTACTTTCACACCTGAATGTGTGTCTTCCTGAGAAGAGGTAGACTCTGGGTCTGCCAAGAGGTTTTGTGCTGCCTTCCTAGCACTTCTTCTAGGCGTGACAGGAAGTTTAAATTCTGTTTGAGGAAGCGATGATTTAGACACATCAACATCAGAATTTTCTGAAACTTCTGATGAGCTAATCTTTCTTCTTCTGCCTCTTTTACTTGGCACAGGTAAAAGGAGTTGGTCACTAAGCTGCACCTGTTGATCCTGTACAGTATCTTCAGTAAACTGTAAATTAAAGCTTTTCAATTTTCTTGCACTTCTGCTGGGACTGACTGCTGGTTTCACTTTATGATCAGTGTCACTCTTGCCAATTTCTGGATTTCCAACTGAACTTTTTCCTCCTTTAGTCCTTCTGGAATCAGAAGAAGCAATAATGCTGCCTTCAGCAAGAGGCGTTTGCTCATTAGCCTCTTCTTGGAGTTCAGATGCAGCTTCCTTTGCTCTCCTTAACCCTCTTCTGGGAGTAACAGGCTGCGTACTGTCAGACAAGGTCTGTCCATCAGAATGGCTGCTTTCTGTTTTTTCTAAATTAGACAGTTTAGGTTTCCTACCTCTCCTAGGAGTAACAGGTGTCACAGGTATTTTCTCCTCTTGAGCATTTTCCTCTGTTTGGAGCCTGGGAGTCTCAGATGCTTCTTTTGTTCGCCTGGTACTTCTCCGAGGAGACAGTCCGAGCAGAGCAGGGCTGTCAGTCTTCAGCAGCTGCTGAGCGCCTGCTGACAGAACACTCGGACTTCTACCCAGCTGTCCCCTTGTGCGGGTTCTTGGAGCAGTGCCATAATGATGCCTGCTGGTTTCCTCTCCCACTGCTTCTAACACAGGTGTTAAGGGAGCCTTTACCTTCTGGAATCTAGTTACCTTTTTACCTATGGTTTCATGAATTGATTGCTCTACAACTTCAGATGTAAATTCTTTACTTCTCGTGTCCTTGATTACATCCAGTAAGTTCTCAGCAATGGCAACCTTAATAGGTTCAGGCACATATGGGAGTGACTCTGCAATATTTTGAGATTCCTGATCGCCAGTTACAGTCGACACTGAATTTGTAACATGTTCCTGGTTTTCAGTATTCCCTAAATTGGTCAGAGGCTTTTCTTCTGTTGTTGTGTCATCTGGTTTAGAAGCATCTATTGATGTAGGGTCTCCCATCTCTGCTTCCCCTTCTTCTCCTTCCAAAACTAAGGTAAAATTATTCTGAGAGAGAAAAAGGTCTCCATCTCCCTCAGCTGCATCACATTCACTATCTTTATTATCAGGCAAATCACATGCAAACTGTTGCTCTATATTTTCATAGCTATAATGAAGAACTCTTGATGGATCTAGCTCACTATATGGTGATGTTTCAGGTGCTGGTTCTGAAGTATCTTCTATAACCTAAAGTTAAAAAATGTCTGTTAATACTTTATTCAATACCAAACAGACTAACTTCACACTGAGCTAGATGAAACTGACGACAGTTCCCTTAAGACCACCCTGAATGTGAAACAATGCACTTTTGTGCACCAGCTAAGAGTTTATGTACTTGAGGCACAGGGACCAGAGCAGTCCCTGTGTGCAGTTCACATGCTCTGTTTCTGATATTTCTGTTCAGAATTGACCATTTGTCACTGCCATGACCAGGAGCAGTTTTCCAGCACAAGGTGTGTACACAGCCAGCAGTGCCCCACTGCCTCTGATAGGGTAAAGTGCATTTGGTCCCCAATGCTTAAAGCTTCAGTCATGATAGTTCTGACAGTAGCATTTACATTGGTCAGGCATCACATCCAACAACTCAACACTGCAATTTGAGGAGTCACTTGGACTGCATGAGATAACATAACACATAGGTTCTAAATGCTTCCATCTCTTGAAGAAATATCTTGACACCAAAATGAGCTCGCTAGTGGGAATTCTGTGTTTTAAGAAGGAACAAACGACCTAAGCACCTAAATAAGCACTCTTCTGAGTTTGGTTTCCACATATTTTTGTCCTTTGGTAACTGGTTACCAGTACAAAGAAGCTGCACTCCTGTAACTTTCTTATCGTCTTTAACATTTTAAAAAACTAATTTTTAAGTAAAATAAAGTTTGAATTCAAGTAAATCAAATTAATGCCTAGCTGGTTTAAAAAAAAATTTAGGCTTTTATTTTGGTTTTATTTGCTCTCAAAGGTCTAAGTCTTGACAGGTCCCATTCATGTTATAGGAACAGAGAATGCAGAAGAAAAAAAACGTATCTGCCCATACAACACTAAGGTTTTTAACTTGTGTTAAGCAGCTCAAGAAACAGACACATTTTTGAGTGTCTCCAAATTGTCAGTACAACAGGTCTGTCTCCTCAATTTGCAAACTGTTCTATTGCGTAGAAAATGGGAAAATAGTTTACTTACATTAATTTCCTCAGTTTTGGGAGGATTGTTAGAAACAGGGACTTCTTCCGCTTCAGCTGCTTCAGGGTTACATTCTTCAGGTAAATCCACACGCTTGCCCTCAAGGCGATTTTGAGAAGGAGTACTGACCATATCCTCACTGTCAAGGATACTTATCACAGCTAGAAGAGATTTATGTAATTTTACCTTAACCTTTATATAAATGATGTAAGTTTAAGCAAAAAGAAGTCACAGAGCTAGCAAGAGCCAACAATATGGTTCTCCATCCTGCCACATATATTGGGCTTTCTCCAAAAGCTAAAACTATTGTGTTGGTTTTGGCTGTGATAGTAATTTTCTTCATAGTAGCTGGTACTGCTCTATTCTGGATTTGTGCTGAAGGCAGTGTTGATAACAGGGATGTTTTAGTAACTGCTGAGTAGCACCTATACAGAGCCAAGGCCTTTCCTGCTTCTCACACCATGCCAGCAGTGAGTGGTCTGGGGGCGCACAAGGAGATGGGAGGGGACACAGCCAGGACAGCTGATCCCAACTGACATCCCATAAAATATGGCATCATGTTTAGCATAAAAGGCAGGTGAAAGAAGGATGAATCAGGAGACATTAGAAGTTATGGTGTTTGTCTTCCTTCCCATGACCCATTTTCCTGCTTTCCTGGAGATGGCTGAACACCTGCTTGACAATGGGAAGTGGTGAATGAATTCCTTGTTTTGCCTGACTTGCATGCAAGACTTTTGCTTTCCCTATTAAGGTGTCTTTATCTCAACCCATGAGTTTTCTCACCTTTAGCTCTCTGATTCTCTCCCCCCTTTACCCAGGGGAAATGAGTGAGTGGCTGTGTGGGGCTTAGTTGTCAACTGGGTTTCAACTGTGATAACTACAGACTGGGTAAAGGATGCAGCCCCACAGCAAGGAAGAAGGAGGAGAAAATCAGTCAAGTCCATGGAGAGGAAACAAAGAGGAAAATGTGGCTGCAAAGGCACACTGGTAGACAGTTGCTTCAGTCTGAACACTGAGGATGCATCATCTTTTAAAATAGTAAATCAAGCAGCAGATCCCATGGCACACAAATTGGTAGTGGTGTACAACATTAAAATAAACACTGATCTCTCCTTATAATACTTTAAGTTCTACCAGCATCTCAATATTTTAATCAAGAACTAAAAGATTCACTATGCACTTTCTCCAAGGACTTTCTTTAAGGAGGGTGTTCTCTCTACAGTCTAATGAAAGTTAGCAGTAACATGCTACTACTATTTCAATCTGAGACACCTACAGTGGTGTGGTAAACTACACATTTCACTTGAGGAGCTCTGCTACCCTACCACACAGAACATTTCCAACATACATTCACTGTCTGCCTCCGGGGATTCAGCAAGCTGTGGATTTGTTGCAACCAGTATGGCTTTTTCTTCTGATGAAGAGGTCATTTCAGACTCCTGGTAGGTTTTTTCACTTCATGAAAAGAGAGAAATTCATCATAAAGCTTGAAAACACACCTTTAAGAGTGTTAGAAGTTACTTTCTCACTGTAAAATCTTCAAATTTCAAATCACAAAAAATACAAGAAAAATCAGAAATTCCTCCATCAACATATTCAATTTGTGACTAAATTTGTAATTCACTTTGTAACTCATTTTATGCAGCTAATAAAGTACTTAACGTTCTTTCCAACTATCCAACACTGGATAAAAATATAACAGAGGTATATTACAGAGTAATGTATTATTTATCTTCTGTAGAAAGAGGGCAACTACAATAAGAGGTTCAGAACCAACTGAACAGAAGTCTGTACAGGTGAAAGTTACCACTTGAAACTAAGTGTTTTCTCATTGCTGACATTCTGTCTTTATCACTCAGCAGTTGCAGCTTTTAAAGAACCTGGTGAGAAAACGGCTTCCCTTCCCATAAACAAATAGATGCTAGTGAGCACACACAGAAAACAGAAATTACGTGTAAAAAATACTGGCAGAAAGCATTCAAACTCCAAAATAAACCCACTGAAGTTACAGAAATCTCAGGATTCATTTTTAACTACACAATTCTCAGAAAAAAACTTATGTTCACAGTATCTGCTTAGTAACTCTCACTAGGTCTCTATGGGACTGTTGAATGAAGTCTTTATCATCATACTTTATGGTCTGCAATAATTTGAGAAAAAAGGCTCAAATTGACAGCTAGACAATATGCATTACATTCATGCCAGATTTCTTTTGGCCACAGACAGAATGGAATAGACAAGCCCTTACAAATAATAACACAGCAAAGAACTAACCCCAGGTCAAAATCAGTTTTCAAACACAGAAAAGCCATCAGCTATATGTTGTGTGAACCCAAAGATGTATCTACTTCATAAGCTCACCCTTCATTTCCAGTCCCAGAAGTTGCAGCCTCAGCAGCTTTAAACACCGACTTATACTCAGGAAGGGTATGATATTCAGCATTTGATTCTTCCACAAATCCTACAAAAATGAAGAGATGGATAACTTCCCTGTTGCACTCAATTATCACTTCTTTTCAACTGCTTATATAGTTTAAAGTGATCCTTTATGCATTTCACCTAGGATAGAGACTTAACAAAATAACGCTACCAAGACTTCAAGTGCACAGATGGCCTGTGTTCTTCTTTCCAGTATAACAAGAAACCTGATGCATAATTTCAGTCAAAAAATGTAAAAATTACTGCAAATTATAGAAGTACTCCTAAAACATAACCAGAAGTCAAAGTTTTAAATGTGTATCCCTTTCAAAACTTCCACACTGCTGCCTTTCAGCTGCAACTACACAAAAAAATGTCAGCCAAGGAAAGTATACATTTATAAGGTCCAGGATACCTAAAAAAGGACTTAAAATATAGAGGTAATTTTAAAAGCTTAGAGCACTTGTGAAAACTCATCATTAAATACTGCACTCTTCAGTAATTCAATCTTTTGACAATATTTAAAAAATTCAGTAACTTAAGTTATCACAGCATGAAACATACCTGCTTCTTTTCTTTGTCCTGAAGGATCTGGTTGTTTCATCTGGAAAGGTTTATCTTCAACCATTTCACTTTCTTCCTCCTTCTCCAATTCTTGAACGTCAACAGTGGAAGAATTAGCTGGTTTAGCAGCTATAAAGATGACATCATCTTCAAAATCACCAGGTGATTTTGCATCATGATACTCCAAAGTAGTCTGGTCTGATCTGACAGAGAAGTTACTATTTTCCTTGCTGACATCCATTTTCTCCAAATCATCTGCAGGTATGCTTTCCGAAGATTCCTGCAATTCAGCACGACCATCCCCAGGATCGCTCAGAGTAAACAGAGTTGGTTTAGCTCTACTTTCAGACCAAGCATCCTCTACCAAGCCATGATGATGCTCAGATGAAGCTCCAAATAGTGCTTTATCATCTTCTGTCACCTAAAATAAAGGTTCAGATCGGCAACATGAGCCTGCTTGTTGTTGAAGCAAAACAAAAAAATCCAACAAATACTGACATTTTTAAGTTCCACATGTCCCCTTAGTGAGGCAATGAAAAATTAATTCTCATTCTAGCATTATCTTAGATTTAAGGCTGAGTGAAAAAATTAATTACACTTTAGATTGCTTATTGAGTTTCCATGACACTAAAGAATTAGGATTAAATCAGTCTTGCTCAATGTCATTTCAAGGCTCTTCACTGGGTTTACTTGTGTGTTTTTGGGAAGACGAAGCTTTGCCTAGTAAAACCCTAACTCAAGATTTCTCTACTTTATGGTTGCCCGTTTAAGAAACACATATGCACTACTAAAATATGCTGGTGTTCAACTATGCCTGTGGCATGGAACAAGCAAATTAATCTGGCCATAGTGCCAATACTAGTAAGAATTTCATGCAGGAGAGAGTATATCTTGTTACAATTGAGTAGCTCATTGTAAAAACACACCAGCTACTCACACATGGGATAGCAGCACATGCCTCTGGTGTGCCACTCATTTGGGTACATTATGCTGGCAACTGGCTGATGGGCTGAACCACAGAATCCAGCTACACAGCTGCAGGAGCAGAAGGGACCTCAGCTGGTCAGATGGACCCACTGCATTTGAAAACTACATGGATGCTATCCATGGTGCAAGGCAAGAAGCAAACCTGAGAACATTAGGCCTGAGAAAACAAAACACTGCAGGTTCTCTTCATCACGGGTCTCTTTTTACCAACATTTAAGTAAATCCAAGGTTGCAAAACGACAGGTTGAGAGTCAGTGCATCTTTATGACTTTTGTTACTTTCCCAGATGTTCAATTTACAAAATTTAACAAATCCAAACAAGAGGCTCCATCTATATTCCTTACCTTCCTGCAACAGTACCATTTGAAAAGGTACAGCTGAAAGGTGAACTAACATTCTGAACATCTGAGTAAAACCCACCATGGTCCCTTGATGCTTATTATGAGTATGTTCCTGCAAGAACATGTTACAAAATGTCTAGCACAAAACAATCTTTTTTTTTTTTACCAAATTCTGCCAATCTGATTTCCAATCCAGATTCTCAGTATAAGAAGTTTTGGCAAACAGAAGTCTAAATTAAATCACAGCATTATCTGCAAAACTCACTAACTGCAGTCCAGCTTACCCCAACTGTCCACTTTGCATGTGAGCTCTCTTCTCTGAAAGATATTCTAGGTTCCTTTGCTCGTAGAGGAGGAGTAACTGATCGTCCTGGGGATGCAGAGGGAGTTGCTAGGGGTGTAGTGCGAAGGCTGGACCTGAGAATAGACTGAGGAGTAAACCCAGGAAAACCGGAAGATGTGGCCAAAACTTTAGCTCTCTAGGAAAAGAAATAAAAACACTTAATTTAGCACCAGGTAAATCCTCAAAACAGAAGACTGTGCTTAAATTACAAAAATTTAATTACCCTAAATTATGAACTGGGTTTATAGCAACAAAGTTTTGCCTCTGCACTGTTCTTCCAAAAATACCAGCATTTTAAAGATAAAAAGGCATGCTTTTTGTATTTCCCTTTGTTTGTCTTTGTAATGCCAACAAAATAAAAGTTAATTTAAAAAACTACTTCTTCAGGAAGCAAGGATATGACATCTTGTTTTCTGCAAGGTTATCTCTTATCCCATTAATTTTTGCAATTCCTACACTGCTCTTGTAACGGCACACAACTTCACTCTGCACAATAGCGTTTTCAGTCACTGCATCTGACAGCCCTTCTGCAAAGAAACAGACAACAGCTTTTTTTCATTAATTAATCAGCTGCACACAATAGGAAGTGACACTGCTGCAGAAATACCTACACATCTTTATGTAGAAGCATTCATATGTTTTTATCTCAGATTATTTTACGGTATTGAAAGGGTTCAAAAGAGGAGGATGAAGCTAGTTCATTTGTATGGATGCTACTTCACAAGAAGGTGAAAAGATGCAATTATTCCATACAATAAAAATAAATTTAGTTCACAAAGCTATGGGACACGCTGTCTACTGCAATCAGCTGAGAATTAAAGTTTCCTGCCTTAAGACTTTTCCCAACTTACTGCTTCCAAAACGGCTGTGTATGTAATAACCACATGCATACTGAAAATTTCAATCCAGGAGGATTTCTACTAAATACTTTGGTGATTTCACTTAAAACGAACCTCAGACGTTCTTCATTTGGTTGGTTGCTACTGACTTCTTAAAATACAAACCTTGACCACACGAGGAGTTTCCAATAAATTCAACTCTGATGCTCTTGGCAGACTGTTTTGGGAGCTGGAGCGATGTGTATTTGATCTCAGGGGGCTGGATGCCACAAAAGAAGTAGAAGCTCTGCACGGGGACTGCCAGCTCTCATCCTGTGCCACAGAGCGGGAAGGAACAGGACGAACCACCAAATCCAGCAACCTGTTAAAATACTCATTTTAAACTAGGAACATGAATAAATAAATGAAAAAAATCATGCTGTGATCATCTCAGATGATGCAGAACAAAAACACTGGATGAACAAGAAATACAACCTGACTGCAGGGGGTGATTTATCAGTCCCACAAAAAACTGACAGGCACTTTGGGGCATTTTTTTCATTACTTCTTTACATTTCATACCTAATTTCCTAAATCCCTGCCTCTGACATAAGAATACCCAATTTTATGCTGCACAAGTGACCTAATTCTCAGCAGTGGAGAAAACTCATCTACATTTCAATGCAGGGACCATTTCAAATTGTGTACCTAATTTTGTCCCTAAGTTGACTTTTTCTTTGAGATACAAAACTAAATTCAATAGAATCCTTGGTAAACCAAAAAAGCATACACATATGCACATGTATATACATGATAAACAATACAATTTTGAAATATAAAGTCTGTAGATCTACTATACCTTGAACACTTTTGAGAAAGTTTTGTAATAGGTGTCCCAAGAAATGCATCAGGCAACTCTGCACCACGGAGAGGATGTGTACTGACTGCAGGCTCTGTAGTTCTAGGACTAGAAGGAAAATGAAAACGTAATTGATTTTCAATCCCTCAAAGTCCAGTCACACCAGAATTAAAGTTTATTTAACTACATCTTATGTAGGACAGTCACCTCACGTGATTTCATTCAGGTAGGCAAAGGCAAAAAGATCAGCAGCAAGGGGCCATGTCAGGTGTTACTGCCTTATGGTAACAGTTTGATGGCAGTGACTGGAAATACAGCTTAACACAAACAACTGATAAGCAAAACTGCAGCAGAGAGTCATCACTGAATCTTGACAGAGACTGACATTGCTCAGTTGTCATTCATGTGACTGGATTAAGAGTTTGAAGCACTGTTCTTGATTGTAGAAATGCACATAAAACTGCACAAAACTACTTGGCACTTAAATAATGACACGGTTAAGCCACAAATTGCATCTTTAGGCAGGTTGAAAAGTCCAGGTTGAACTTTGTTCCATGCAATAAAAACAAGAGTATTTCTCAAAGCTGTGGGACAAGGTAACCACTCCAATTAAGTGAAAACTAAACTTTCCCTCTGTTCCCATTTTACTGCTTCGAAAAGGACTGTGTATACAATAACTACATGCATGCTAAAAATACCTCACAATTTGAACCCAGGGGTTTCCTTTTAAACAAAGCCCACAAGCTTCTGGTTTGGTTGGTTGCTACTGACTTCTTAAAATACAAACCTTGACCACACGAGGAGTTTCCAATAAATTCAACTCTGATGCTCTTGGCAGACTGTTTTGGGAGCTGGAGCGATGTGTATTTGATCTCAGGGGGCTGGATGCCACAAAAGAAGTAGAAGCTCTGCACGGGGACTGCCAGCTCTCATCCTGTGCCACAGAGCGGGAAGGAACAGGACGAACCACCAAATCCAGCAACCTGTTAAAATACTCATTTTAAACTAGGAACATGAATAAATAAATTAAAAAAATCATGCTGTGATCATCTCAGATGATGCAGAACAAAAACACTGGATGAACAAGAAATACAACCTGACTGCAGGGGGTGATTTATCAGTCCCACAAAAAACTGACAGGCACTTTGGGGCATTTTTTTCATTACTTCTTTACATTTCATACCTAATTTCCTAAATCCCTGCCTCTGACATAAGAATACCCAATTTTATGCTGCACAAGTGACCTAATTCTCAGCAGTGGAGAAAACTCATCTACATTTCAATGCAGGGACCATTTCAAATTGTGTACCTAATTTTGTCCCTAAGTTGACTTTTTCTTTGAGATACAAAACTAAATTCAATAGAATCCTTGGTAAACCAAAAAAGCATACACACATGCACATGATAAACAATACAATTTTGAAATATAAAGTCTGTAGATCTACTATACCTTGAACACTTTTGAGAAAGTTTTGTAATAGGTGTCCCAAGAAATGCATCAGGCAACTCTGCACCACGGAGAGGATGTGTACTGACTGCAGGCACTGTAGTTCTAGGACTAGAAGGAAAATGAAAACGTAATTGATTTTCAATCCCTCGAAGTCCAGTCACACCAGAATTAAAGTTTATTTAACTACATCTTATGTAGGACAGTCACCTCACAATTATAAGCCTCTTCGCCACTGTTAGTAATTCTGCTTATTTTTAAATAACCAAGTAGCACTGGTAAAAGATTACTACGTGATCACACAAATGAGTCTATAAAAGTCAGTACAGCAAGAGCTGCATGGTAGTGACAAACAGTTTGAGTTTCAGCTCCTTAAACACTGTAAACTCATTCGCCATAATGTAAATACATGCATTTGTATAGAGAAGATGATCATAGCAGAAAAACTCTCCAAACACTACACAGGAGGACATGATCGTTAGCTATTATATATGTGTAGAAAGGCAAAACAAAGCTTTATTCATGTCCACCTTCCCACCAAAAAACGAACACAATTCAAACTAAAATCACTTTCTCTCCCCCTACAACTCACTCTCCTCTCCCTCTCCAAATACAGAGCTTAAGAGTAACTTTTATAAAAGGCTGCTTACCTATCATACTGAGAGATATTTGTTTTCTGCTCATTTCCTAACCATACTTCTCCAATTTTGGACAACACTTTACTGATGAAAGTTGCCATCAGTAAAAATTCTTCAGTATTTGCAGGGAAAAAAAATGTCAGCCACCAAGAACAAAGTGAATGTGTTAAGAGGAGCAATTCAGGTCCTTCTAAGTTCACAAAACCCTGTGTACAGACATTGCTTTTAATGAATACATTACTTGATAACTTAGGCAATAAAAAAATTGGTTGTATTGACACAGTGAAAAGAACAACATTCAGTATCAGGAAGAATAGTTCTTAGGTTGAAAATCACTCCTGCAGTCTTTAGTCTCAAATATTCCTGCTACCATCACAGCTTCCATGATTCAAGTATCAAAACACTCTTCTAGAAACAGTGCCCAACCAGTCTGCTAAAAACCTAACTGAAGACAGCTTTGAAAACTCAATTATTAAGCATTATTTAAGCTGATTACTCCATTGTTTTAATAAATTTCCTCTCAAAGTAGTTAAAGCAAAATTTCAAATCATAACTTGTTGCTGAAGATGTCAGACCAGTGTTACAAAAAAGTTTCTAATGCTTCAATAGCTCATTATACCTAAGTAACAATTTAAAAAATAATTTTACTGATTGCAGTTTAGCAATGTTTAGTGCAGTATGTGTCTAACTCAACTGTTTCATACTTACTTCATAATCATTGTGATCTAGGAGCCAAAACCCTTGAATCAGCTTAACAAGACCCCAAGGGATAGCAAAGGCAGTTGGAAAGGAGTCAATAGAAGTCTCTGTTTTATTTGGAAAGGAATGCATAATATCCAGCAGCAAGTAAATTGTCTGAGAATATCTAATTAAGGTGAATAAATTGCTAAGATAGAAACTTGTATCACATTACATTTGGCAAAACATTGAAATAAGAACATGAAAATAGTAGAAAGCAGAACATCCCAAGGTACTGATCTTGCCATTTTAAGCTATTACAACCCATTATATCAATAGTCAGGTCCTAATCACAGAACTGTATCCTGAATATACTTCCAGAAAGAAACACTTGTGGATTTCTGGAAGGCAATCAAAAAGGCAGCTATTGGGTGTTTATATACTCCGGCTGTTATAAACTCAGGCTTCTGCTTCCATCACTGAAGCTACCAGCTGGACACTCAACACACTTCAACATCCAATGCTTAATTATTAAAGAAAACAAGCTCTACAGCTGTTTTATCCTCCTCATTTCCTGTCTTCACAAGACCAACACAAATTATGGTGCCTTTACAATGCAACTTAGCACTGCCTGATTGAAACTGTGTTCAAACTGCATGTGGAACCGTCACTCAAAGTGTCATCCGCCCTTTCTGACATCCCATGTTAGGGATGTGTCTGAGTAAAGCAGCTTGGGACTACAACCATTTTTAACCCCTTTGCTCTCCAGGCTCCCTTCCTGGTTTAGCCACGAAAGGCAAGTCTGCATGTTCCAGCAGCTTAAAAATCAGGCTTCAGCCCAATGACTGTTCTCAAACCGCCCTTTATTATTCTGTGTGCTTATACTTTTTACACAAAAAAAAGAGCAAACACTGTTAACTAGGCTGGGAAACAAATGATTTTGGCAAAAATCAGCAACTGGAAACCACTGTTACAAACTCTTTTGTTCTGAAGCAGCACATTTTAGGCACTTTTCTAACACACAGTCCTTTGCCACAGAATGGTGTGATTTAAAACTTAAAAATTATTACATTTTAAGAGAAACTAAGCAAGGTTTTTATCTTGAATATTTTAGGGAACCTGTTTTCTTGTATCAGAAAAGAATCTGCAAAAAAACCACATAGGTGACAAACACGTAAGAACATTTTTGTTCTTATTAAGGACGGAGAAATAACAGATTCTGGAAAGGATACAATTGCATGTTTGTCGCTTTCATCAATGCTTTCTAGCAAATAGAGATCCAGCAGTGCCTGAAATGAAAGATTAAAAGGTTTTCTAATGCTCCTGTCTTTCGCAATCAATGGCTTTAGGGGACTGCTGCTGCTGGGGTTTGCAGTGAACAGAACACTCACATGTAAACTAACAGGTGGGTATTTCCCAGTGCCGCCTTCATCCCTCTGCCACAACTTCTCCACTTCCTCTCCCAACTGGGAAACCATTCCATCACTTACTTCATAATCACTGTGATCTAGGAGCCAAAGCCCTCGAATCAGCTTAACAAGACCCCAAGGGATAGCAAAGGCAGTTAGAAAGGAAACAAGTAAAGTTTCTGTTTTATCTGGAAAAGAATGGATGATATCCAGCAGCAAGTAAATTGTCTGAGAATATCTAATTAAGGTGAATAAATCACTAAGAGTAAAAAGTTGTATCACATTACATTTAGCAAAACAATGAAATAAGAACATGAAAATAGTAGAAAGCAGAACATCCCAAGTTACTGATCTTGCCATTTTAAGCTATTACAACCCATTATATCAATAGTCAGGTCCTAATCACAGAACTGTATCCTGAATATACTTCCAGAAAGAAACACTTGTGGATTTCTGGAAGGCAATCAAAAAGGCAGCTATTGGGTGTTTATATACTCCGGCTGTTATAAACTCAGGCTTCTGCTTCCATCACTGAAGCTACCAGCTGGACACTCAACACACTTCAACATCCAATGCTTAATTATTAAAGAAAACAAGCTCTACAGCTGTTTTATCCTCCTCATTTCCTGTCTTCACAAGACCAACACAAATTATGGTGCCTTTACAATGCAACTTAGCACTGCCTGATTGAAACTGTGTTCAAACTGCATGTGGAACCGTCACTCAAAGTGTCATCCGCCCTTTCTGACATCCCATGTTAGGGATGTGTCTGAGTAAAGCAGCTTGGGACTACAACCATTTTTAACCCCTTTGTTTTCCAGGCTCCACTCTTGGTTTAGCCAACGAACAACAAAAGCAAGTCTACATGCTCCAGAAGCCTAAAAATTAGGCTTCTGCCCAGTGAATATTCTGTGTGCCTGCAGTTTTGACACAAAAAAACCCCCAAAAAAACCACTGCTAGCTGGGCTGCGAAACAAATTATTTTGGCAAAAATTAGCAACTGGAAAACCAAAGTTACAAACCCTTTTGCTGTGAAACAATACATTTTAGGGCACCACTCTAATAAGCACTCTATTGCTATATATCAGAGTGTCTTAAAAAATTAGTAACTGTGTTAAAATTTGAGTACAACTAAACAAGGTTTTTATCTTGAATACAACTTAGAGAACATGTTTTCTCAAATTGGAAGAGACTTTGGAACAAAACAATTAAAAATTAAATCAGAAAAATTCCAATCTAGAAAGAAATTAAGCAATGCTTCTGTCTAGGACTTAATTCTATTCTAAACGTGTTCACTCACACTGTGTTTATGGCATAAATTTAAAATTGTTGTTAAGCACACACAGGTGACAAACATGTAAAAACTTTTATGTGCACAGACTGAAGAAGAGATAACAGATTCTGGAAAGGATACAATTGCATGTTTGTCGCTTTCATCAATGCTTTCTAGCAAATAGAGATCCAGCAGTGCCTGAAATGAAAGATTAAAAGGTTTTCTAATGCTCCTGTCTTTCGCAATCAATGGCTTTAGGGGACTGCTGCTGCTGGGGTTTGCAGTGAACAGAACACTCACATGTAAACTAACAGGTGGGTATTTCCCAGTGCCGCCTTCATCCCTCTGCCACAACTTCTCCACTTCCTCTCCCAACTGGGAAACCATTCCATCAATCATCAAGCAATCAGAATCCCATTTGCCTCTGCAACAAAAGGGAACAAGGGCTTGCACAGTGTAAAACACTCATTCCAGCCTCTCAGTGTCACAGATTTCGGAGTCAGAGGAATGATGGTCCTTAGCTCACAATGAACTTCTTAATTAAGGAGTCCAAAGCACAAACCCAAGAGAAGAGCTGCATTTTGGGTTCCAGGCTTGCTTTCTTGCTCTGTTATGTGTAATGCCAAGGAAGGCAGACAAAGGGTTTTAACTGCAAAAATAACCACTCTCACACAGTCTAACAGTGGCAGCTTTCTAGAGAATTCCTCTGAGTCTTACCTTGATAAGCGCTCGAGTTTCTCTCGGTGACCCGTATAGTAGCTCTGAATCAAAGGGTAATTGTAGAAAAGTCTGGACAAATGCATGTGATCATCTACAGGTAATAAAAGTAAAAGCAAGTTAAAAAGTAAGACCATGTTTTTCAACTAAAACTTTGGTCTAGACAGACAGGAATCACACAGCCTCAAGTGTTTTGCTACTACAGGTTCTGCTTACCTAAACCCTCGGGAAGAAGACTGGACCGACAAAACCAGATCACCACTTGTGCATACAAAGAAATGAGGCTGGTTACCATCTGCTTATTTGTCAAGTCTGTAAAACCTGAAAAAAAGACACAAGATGATTTGGATATTGCAATTCCTCTCCCTTTTACAAATCTCCCATCAGCAGCACAAACACAAAGTATAAAACACCACGGTGGAACTCTTCTTACTTTTAGTTGTCCCTCTGGATCAATTATGAAGTTGAAGAAAAAAACCCACTGTTCGCCCTCAAAACAAAAACCCATCTCTACAAAGAAACGGAATCACTAAAGATTAAAATTGAAAAATAAAGCCTGATCTATTAGATAAGGAAGGAAGGAAGGAAGAAGACTGTTTTTTTCCACGTACAGACATGGAAAAGAATGTAGCAGCTTATTCAAGCCCAGACATTTCTTTCAGATGAAAAGAACCTGCAACAAATTTTTCTTTCCTCTTTTTTTTTTAACCAATTTTAAAAGTTTGCATTCTAAGTAAAATCGTGACATGTAACAGCGATTTCTACATATTAAAAGACATACAGGATATTTCCATCATCTTCTGACAATGCATTTCAGACAAGGAAACATGCTGAATTCTACTTAGGGTACCAAACAAAATTCCAAGTTATTTGACCCTAATTCCGAATTTTTTCTTTCTAGTGTTCCAAAGCTATCCCTGCTTAATGCAGTCTCTGAACAATATAGTCACAATTCAGCAAAGGTCATCATAAAATTTCTTGCTTTCCCAAGTTACTTCCCAACCAGACTGACATCAGAACATCTAATCAGAATGTAAAAGCCTACATCAGGCTTGTAAAGTAAGCATTCTATGGGCAGGGTCTGCTAGCCAAATTTGTTTTAGCTACCACATTATGCAGAAGTGTTATTTTTGCTGACATATTTCCACAGTCTGGTGAAGAATCCCATAGACAGGAAGATGAAGGCAGGGGGAAGATTGCTCCCCCCTTTGTAGCGTTTGCTGCTCCACTCCATGATTACCATCCAACCCTTCAGCTTTGACCCTCCCTGGAGAAAGATAGGCTGTTCATCACAAAGGCTCCTTCTTTAATGAAACTCTTCAGACGAGAAACAAAGTTTGCTGCACTGAAAATGAAAAACCCATGAGAGGGGTGTGAAGCCACTGCGGTGACAGACAGAATGTAGCAGTGTTGAGAGATACAGGTGATGCAGGTGCTGCAGCAAGAGGGCAGTCTAAGAGGAGGAAATCGAGCAACCACAGCTCAAGGCAAAGGCTACAGAGGTAAAGGTCAGTTTTGACAGGGTGCAGAAAAACCTACTGATTAAGGGAAAATGAGGGGAAGTGGCCATGCAACTGTCAGGTAGAGAGCACCATTATAACTGGTTAGCACTTCCTTGGAAGGAAATAATGTCTAGTGCAGCAAGCTGGTGTTTGCAATAGTGCACATCTGAGGGAGGCACCATCAGGGCCACCTACTGCACTGCACCCAAGGCTCTGAGACACTGAGGGCATGAAGAGGATGAAGGCTGTACCCACGAAAAGCTGCTTTCTGATGCACATGCCCAGCACTGACCGAATGCTTCTGCATGCGGACCTGGGGCATGGAATTTACAGACAGGTCACTGAAGACAAACGTCTCAGGGCTGTTCACAGCCAGAAGACTGGATCTAAGAGTATTATTATTTCTGCTAACTGTATGTCAAAACCTGCCTCTCAGAGCAGCTTTCAATCAAAAACCATGGTCTTATAGCCTCTACAGCCTTCAGAGAAGATG